AAAAAACCATGGTCAAGGTTTTTGATTGGTCCCTACTTGAAGAAAAAAAAAAGTAATTTATAAAATTTAGTAAAACTCTTAACTAACTATATTTGAACTACATATATAGTGATGGTTTGGCTTATTCTCTATCTATCCAACTACTCTAATTTCAAAACCACATAAACTCAAAATTAATTTCCGAAAATATCATCTATAGTAGCTAGCTAGAAATTTGATGTTTCATAATAAAAACAAAAGAAAAAAAAAATTGATGTTTCATCCACTAATTTGATACTAAATAAGTATGATTAGAATCTCTCTCTCTCTCTCTCTCTCTCTCTCTCTCTCTCTCTCTCTCTATATATATATATATATATATATATATACCTTCCTATTTAATAAGAAAATATTTAATAAGAAAATATGAGACCTTCTAAAACAGCGACACGTGGCAATGTGGTTTACGCTCTTTTAGCTTATTTCAATTCCTCCTCTTTGTTTTTCCCGATTTTTCTTTTAGGATAAAATGGCTATTTCTCAAATTTTCTTTTAAAATCAGGAAAGAAAGCACTAGAAGCTCCATTTACAAATCTCATGTTCCCCGTCAAATTCTCCTCCCGAAACCCCAATTTCGCACAAATTACGAACCCCCAAATTTTCATCCGGCGAGACTCCCTCAGCCCCCGCCGCCGCGATAGCAAGAAATCCAGTCCCACACCGTCGTCACCTCCATTTTCTTCATCCAACAAGAACACAAGCGGCCCACCAAAGAAGACGAAGCCCCGAGCACCCCCGTTGTTTCTGACAAAATCCCCGACGCCGACGATGAGCTGTACGACTTAGATGATGGCTTGGACTTCCCGTACGAGGATCCGCCGCTGGTATACTCCATCGGGGCAGCCCGGAAGGAGATCCTGCCGGCGGTGAGGGTGTCGGAGGACCAGTTGCATCCGATCATGTACTCCCAGTAGAAGATGCTCCATTGGGACCCGACAGAGTTCGCGAGAGCCCCCGGTGGCCCGCACGACTGACATAGCTAGATCTCAAATTTACGGCTCGTCCAACAGTGGTGTTCAAGATGAAGTCACCGACCACCGACGGCGCAACCCGAGGTCTCCACCTCCGGCTGCGGTTGTGGATTTCAGGTATTGTGGTCGGCCATACGGCTGAGAATCCTCGGACGGGTAATTATTAGATTGTGTAATTAATAGATGTTTGTATGGTTATTAGATTGTGGAATTAATAGATGTTTTTATGGGTTTGCTTCATTCAGACTTGCCTCGATTTACAAGCAGTGGTTACAAGAGGGACTGGTGTGCTCTGAAAACTCCCAAAATCATGTCTTCAGCCCTTTATGTTACAAGAAGAAATTGATACCATGGTATTTAAGTTTATATGTTAAATTTGGTATCTTGGGCCATTTCACAAATATGCATTTTCTTTATGTTTCTATATTTGATACATAGGATGTGAAAGTTGAAATGGAGGACATTGATGAAGATGAACTTTGGTTGATATAAGATGGACCACTCTCAGTTACTTGGTACATTGATGATATATATGATTACAACATAAGACTAAAGTTAGAATCATCTCTCTATTTTGTCTCTGAAGTTTGATTGCTTAAATATCATTTGCTGTTGATACCAAGTATGTCACTATTTGAGGGTGTACAAAACATTAAATAAAAAAAAAACCATCTCCAACTCCTAAGTAGAAGGAACTCATATTTTTTTCCGTAATAACTGAACTTGTTTGTGTGTGTGGGTGTGAACAGTTCTTGTGAATTAAGTTTGGTTGTAGTTAGCGATGTACTAAGTAAGTTACATTGCTATCTTTTTCGTTGTTTTTGTTTCAGCACGTCTTTCTGAACCTTTATTATTGAATATTTTTCTACTTTGGAGATGTTTTGTAATAAAAGTAAATAAATTATAATATCCTAATGTGAAGTGTTAGAGAGTTGGGCTTATGATGTATGGATCTTTTTTATATAAATTTGCTCAAAACAGTGAATTGTCGAGTGTTGAGGTATCTAACTGATCATACAAAGCTATAAGGTTATAATATGCATGTTCAAAATCTGGGAATACATGCATTATAGTGCTGGTATGTTTCCTAAGTTAGTTCTTAAAACTTTTTTTGACATTGGTACGTAAGTTGCTTTATTATGATATGGAGTTTCTTATTTAGAGCTCATGAACCGTGTATAAAAAGTTTGACATCTTCTAATTTTAATAAGATTTGTATTACAGAAGTTATGAATGAGAAATTTATGTTAAATTCTTCATGATGGTGCTCTTGATAGTGCATGACCTGTAAATTTATCTTCAATCTTTGCAGGTCATTGTGGATATCTATCTTTTTAATTATATGAAAATATTAGACTCTCCTAAAATACGATACGTTGCTCCAATCTTTGGGCGTCTTTTGGTACTTCTTTCTTTCTCTCTTTTTTTTTTATTTTAAATTTTCTACCTCCTTCTGCATTAAGTTTACATAAATACCTTTTTTTTAGCCTGCTTTTTCATCTTTAAACAGATCTCCACCAGATAAAATCTCCTTCTCGAATCCTCGATAAGATCTCATATCTCATAACTCGCAGGACATGATCCGCACCCACAACCATTAACGACGCCAAACTCTCGAAGCAGATCCAGCAGATGGTCTGTTCCATCCGCCAGGAAGCGGAGGAGAACGCCAACGAGATCTCCATCTCTGCCAAGGATTTCCTTTATGCAATTTACATTTTCTTTCTTCTCTTTTTTTTTTTTTTTTTGTGTTTCTCAATTTCAGTGTAATCATTATGATTATTATTGTTGTGTTGTTGCAGGAATTCATCATCGAGAAGCGTCTAGGAGGGCTGCTACGCTTCAGGTAAGAGCATGGATAAAGATTTTCTTTTTCTTTTTTTTTTTTTTGTCTTCTTAGACTGATTAAAGATTTCTTTTTTATTTTTTGTTTATTCTTTTTAAATTATATTTTAAGCCATCAAATAAGAAATTATTGTTTACGGTTCTTTTGTTTTCTTTCTGAGGTTAGATGATACTCATGGTCGAATCAAGCGACACAACCAACCATGTCGAGGCTAAGATTCAGAACAAAGAAGGTAAATTATTTGGTTCGTTTGTTTGTTTTCACCTCATCGACCAATTTTCAGCTCATGTTATGTTTATTTTGCAGATGCAAAATGATAAACAAGAAAGATTTAATTTTTATTTGGTGTTTTTCAATATTTTTGTGTGAACTTGTCCTACATTTATGCTTCAGGGATTCCGCCGGACCAACAACTCTTTGCTGAAAAGCAACTCGAAGATGGTCGAACCCTTGCAGATTACAACATCCTGAAAGGTTATTTGTGTTATTTTTTCTTTAATGGAAGGTAGATTCTCTGGGTCGTTTGTTGAGTTTCTGATTGCAGTACTATGGCCCTTAAATTTTAATGAAACATTCTATACAATAGTGAATTGTTAGCGAAGATGTTAAGCATCATCATTACAAGCTAACAAAGCTCTCAAGGACAGCTCATGACCAAGAATGATGTATGTTAGTCACATCTTATGTACCGCCTGTTCATCCCCGTCGCTTTTACAATAGGATGTTTAATTTGGCAACTAGCTTTACTAATATTTTACTTAGTCATTCTTTGTTTGATATTAATACTTCTGGCCCTGCTCTGATTTGGCTTTTGTTGAGTAGGTTGAAGAAATAGCTGAAAAACTTTGTGATTCAGTAACTTCAAGTCTTGAGGGCAAAAGGCTAGCCTCTTTTACCAGAATTTCTTCAACTATTCAGGTACACAAGCATTGTTGTAACAATTTAGGGAATTAATGCTTACTTAATGTTCTTTTCAATACATTTTAACACAATGTACAATGCTTTTTTTTTTTTTTATCATGCCACAGATTATTGGTTCAATTAATTTTCCGCAGCAGCTACGCTTACTCATTATTAACTAATCAACCTGCTCTGATTTCTATAATTTGTGAGAATACAAAGTGAATAGATGTTGTTTATTGCGGCTAATTTGGTTTATTTTTTTTAATCCGTGTTTAGTTTTTTTTGTATGAATGTGATGAATAAAAAGTCCAATATTAAGAGTAATGTAATAAAATTACTACTAATTTGAAATATTATAGTTCATAGTTGGTGTGTTATGTAGACCTAAAACGAAAAAATCGAGGCCAAATCTTTCTTAACGGGCCAAAAAACTCATCACCATTGATGGTGGAAAGAAGTGTGCTTCATGAGTATTGGTGTTTCTGTTCAAAGTATTTTATTCACTTCACTCTTTCCACCTAAAACATTGTTTCAATTTTATGTAATTGTGGATTAAATCGAAGAAGAAAAACAATCCATCTTTACATGGGGGTCTCTATACTGATTAGTGTGTGGTTTTGTTAGTTGTGTCGTCAATTTCTGTATTCTTCAGTTTTATTAGGATTTTTGAAATTGGGTGAGAAAATTCATTTTTGGTACACCTTAGAGTTTGTTCTCCTGATTAACAATCTAGATTATAAGTAGTCGTGACACGAGGGTTTTGTATGATAAACAAACCTTAAGCCCATGATGATTTGGTGGTGGTTCACTCATGTTGTCCTTGGAGTGTTATTATCATGATACACTTGATTGTGATGTTATCAGATTAACGGTTGTTTGTAATTTGGATGTTGTAGTGAATACTCCATGCAACTGAATGCTTCTAGAATCAAGGTTCTTCAAGCACAGGATCATTTGGTGAGTTCAATGAAGGAGGCAGCATTTAAGAAACTTTTAAATGTCAGCCATGACAATAATAATTATACGAGCCTGTTAAAGGATCTCATAATCCAGGTTTTCAAACCTAAGTATAGTATCTGCAATTTACACGTAAGTTAAAAAAATATTCGAAGTGAAAATTTGATGACTTTTGATGTATTTTATTTCCTGAAAGGTCTAAAGTCTTGTCCAGACATTACATTCTAGAGCATGGTTAAGAGCCAGATGACCCATGGCGATGTGATGAGCTGATGGTCCAACTTCTGGGGGATGATCTGCAGTGAGCAAGGCATCAATGCCACAGGTAGGTTTGGCGACGCGTCCAAGCTGTTGAAGTGTATCAACATGTACTATAACCTTCCAGTAGGATTTGTTCGTGTTTATAGATCCGACCACCATGAACACTATCGAAACCAGGCCGTACAGACAGATCTTCAGGCCCGATGACTTCGTGTTAAGGCAATCCAAGTAAAAAAAAAAAAACCTATTGTTTCTTCTCTGTATTTAAGACCAAATGCATTTTATGCGAAAATGATAATTTTACAATTGACATATGTTTGTTCTTAGTCTGTGATTTGTGAGTGCTGAAAATGTGCCAGTCAAAGATGTTGATACATTCTTGCTCTTTGATGATTTCCTGCTTTATGATTCTCTGATTTGTGCTCACTTCTTCATATGTCACATGTTATACATAGTTTTAAAAAAAAAATCCATGTTGTTGTTTTGGGCAGACAATGAAGAGAATACCACTTACCTTAGGTTTCTTATTTCAAATACTGAATAGAAAACAGGACCTAAATTTTGTAATACTCAATATTCATAAATTGTTAGACATTTACTTCCACTGTTTTTTATTATTAAATAAGAAAAAAGTAAAAAATGAAATCAATAAAAATAAACAAAAAATTAATTTATAAAGAGTTAATATCATCAAACAATAGAACCAATACCAATTGATAAAGTTTAATATTAAAATAATTACACACAACACGTAATTATTTTCAATACGTACAAATTAAATTATTATAAACTGCAAATAAGTTAAGAAAATTTACATTCATCATTCCTTACAAATTGTATTGCATAGAGAATACAATATTAAATTACAATGGGTAAATAGTATCAAACAATACACCAATACTTATTTACAAATTTAGCTAAGAAATAATTACAAACGACAAATAACTATTTACAATGTAAATAAATTAAATAATTATAAAGCGTATGAGCCGGCTGTGTTTAACACAGCCGGAAATTTACTAGTATATATGTATATATGGGGAGGATCCAAAGAGTCCACTCCTTAAAATGAGTTCACTCTTTAAAATGAGTCCACTCCTTAAAATATATATTAATTAAATAATAAAATAATTATTAGTTGACTCTGGCGTTGACCGTTGACTTCCGACAAAAAATCGTTGACTTTCGACATTGACCGTTGACTTTCGGCGTTAACCGTTGACTTCCGGCGTTGACCGTCGACCATTATTATGCATTATATGTATGAAGTAAATATGCATCCATTACCATGCATTTAATATGAACTAAATATGCATGAGATATGAATTGCACATGCAGTCCGTATGAACTAAATATGCACCAATAATATCAACTAAATATGCACCTGTTATAAACTAAATATGCATCATGAATGAACTAAATATGCAACAAAAAATATGCAATAAAATGTGCATTTTATATAGGTAATTTATGATGCATATTTAATTAATTTATTATGAATATTTAGGTAATTTATGATGCATATTTAGTTAATACGAAATGCATACTTGTTATATTTAAATTAAATATATAATAATATTTATATAATTAATTTATTATGCATATTTAGTTAATTCATGATACATATCTAGTTCTTACGAAATGCGTATTTAGCTCATTAACATTGCATACCTATTTTATTTGAGATCCAATCATAACAATTTATTTGTGTTATTATTCAATTTAAAATTAAAATTGGTTATATAATAAAATCATTACTTATTATATTTAATTTAATTGTATAAAATGTATATTTTATTACATATTTTCGTTGCATATTTAGTTCATTCCTGATGCATATTTAGTTAGTAAAATGTGCATATTTAGTACATAAACAGTGCATACATAGTTGATATTATTGATGATAATTTAGTTCATAAAGATGATATATTTGGTGAACTAAATATGCATGAGATATGAATTGCGCATGTAGTCCTTATGAACTAAATATGCACCAATAATATCAACTAAGTATGCACCTGTTATGAACTAAATATGCATCTGTTATGAACTAAAAATGCATCATGAATGAACTAAATATGCAGCAAAAAATATGCAATAAAATGTACATTTTATATAGGTAATTTATGATGCATATTTAGTTAATTTATTATGAATATTTAGGTAATTTATGATGCATATTTAGTTAATACGAAATGCATACATGTTATATTTAAATTAAATATATAATAATATTTATATAATTAATTTATTATGCATATTTAGTTAATTCATGATACACATCTAGTTCTTACGAAATGCGTATTTAGTTCATGAACATTGCATACCTATTTTATTTGAGATCCAATCATAACAATTTATTTGTGTTATTAATCAATTTAAAATTAAAATTAGTTATATAATAAAAATCATTAATTATTATATTTAATTTAATTGTATAAAGTGTATATTTTATTGCATATTTTCGGTGCATATTTAGTTCATTCCTGATGCATATTTAGTTAGTAAAATGTGCATATTTAGTACATAAACAGTGCATACATAGTTGATATTATTGGTGCATATTTAATTCATAAGGATGAAATATATAATTCATTTCTTATGCATATTTAGTTCTTACTAAGTGCATAGTACTGTATGCATATTTATTTCATACAAAATGTAGAATAGAGGTCAATGGTCAACGCCGGAAGTCAACGGTCAACGCCAAAGTCAACGGTCAACATCGAAAGTCAAAGATTTTTCGCCGAAAGTCAACGGTCAACGCCAGAAGTCAACGGTCAACACCGAAGTCAATGGTCAATTGTCAAAATAATATTTAAATAATTAAAATAATAAAAATAAAGAATTAAGTAATAAAAATAAAGAATTATTATTTAAATGAAGAGTTAAATCTTGGTCACACATCATGTATTAATCTAGTGGCTAGAAATGGGTCTCACATTCACACTTTAAATATGTGGACTCATTGGATCCAATCCCTATATATATATATATATATATATATATATATAGAAGTGCGCTCAAGTGAGAAAAAAGTACAATGAAAGAAATAAGAATGAATTTAGTCCATTAGATACATTATATCCATGGTTAGAATAGAGTCAAATGTGGTCAATCATTAATGGCAATACAGTAAATTAACATAATTATTATTATCAAATATACCAATTAAGGGTAAATTAGACTTTTTAAATAATCCCCTCACAGGTGGGACCCACCACCATCCATCCCCCTAAAACCAATATTTTCCCAACACGCCCACGACCCTTCCTGCACGTGCCACCCGTAGTTCCCTGTCACCGCCGATCGCCGCCGTATGTCTCTCTCTGTTTCTCTCCGACTCGCTCTCTGCCAATCTCACGAAACCACCGAATCGCCGATGAGCCGCTTCTCCGCCGCAGCCCCCTGCCACCAGATACAACGCCTTCCGCCACTGCGCCACCATCCTTACTGCCCCATTCCGTTCGACGCTAGGCCAGGCATTTTCTAGAGCTGAGTCTTTTTTTTTTTTGGTTAATATAGTTGGCTGAGTGTGGCTGTGACCACTGGCCCGTGAATGTGAATTGGTGATTGTGAATTGGGGATAATCTTTAATTGCTTTAATTGTTGATAGTAAATTTTATGAAATGTTGTAGCCTGTGTGTTTGCCGATTTCGAAAATGTTGAGTGTGAAACTCAATGAATTCTGTTAGCTTTATGATGT